ATGGCTATTAAGTGTGTTTGATGACTGCACTGGACTCCCTGAAACCAACCTTTTGAAAATTTCAAAACTATTTCAATTGCAAATCGACAGGTTTCCTTTATCGCCGGCACTTCCGCTTTCTTCCAAAGCAGGGATTTCCTTTAGAATGTCTTCGAAATCATCTTCCATTCCACGTTTTCCCCCTTAAAGGAAAAACGTCGGCACTTAGCGATACCTAAAGGCTCCCACTCCTCCCAAACTTCGACCAAAAAACCGCCCGAATGAGCGAGCATTCCTGAAACGTGAACACTTTCAGCGCTGTCTGCGAAACCGCCTTTGAATGCGGCGAGGGCGTCACCAAGGCTTAGCCAAGGATGTGGAGCGAGTCCCCGATCGTCTGTCGCCAGGTAATACCAGTTTCCTGACAATACTTTTCTTTTCGTACTTTGGGGTAGAAACTGGAGAGAATCAGTAAAACTTTTTGCTACCTCAAATTGTATTTACTTCCTCTGTTTATTGATTTGTTGAGAGTTGTTTATCCCCTGTTTATCGTTAGATTTTGCATTTATAGCATCTCTCAAAACTTCTGACTTTCTAAATCCTTCAATTTTTTGAAATTTCAAATTCTTGAAACTCTACTGTACTGTAAAATAGTGTACTGGTAGCCCACGAAATGTAAATCTCATCGTTGATTTCAGCTACTCCTCACATACCTCAGGGATAGGAGCCAGTCCTCCAATGGCTAGGCGCTCCCCTCAAAGTAACAAGGTTGGTAACTGAGCAAATTGTTTTTTCATTTTTTGAATTTTTGATTTTTTTCGCCCGGGTTTCCATTTTCTTATTTATGTTGTACAATACAAAGTGCGATTAGTTTTATAATTCTAACGCTCAGTTTGCAATTTCGCTTCAATTCGCATTCCTTTTTTATATATTACTCAATTTTATATTTAACTAACTTTTATGTTTAATTTTAAATTTTAACTTTTATATTTGATTCAATTACTTTATAAAAAAATTCCTTTTGACTTACACTCCACTCGGCTTCAATGAACCTCAGCTCTTTTCTGTTCTTATCGAAATAAAATTAAGGCGATTCTGAGGAATAAAATCGATTTTTCGATTTGTTCAAAGCCTCAGAAAGCAATTTAGAACGATCAAGTTCTGGAATTGGGCCCCTCATTCCGATCGATCGATAGCTACTTGGCACATTGAACACCTGAAGAAAGAATTTATGACATAGGATAGTTCATGAGGTAACCAACCATCTGGCCACATTGATATCTGTCAAGCACCAGTGGTCCATAAATCTTCTCAGCGTTGTTGGCTTTTCCATCCAATTCATGGGTTAACAAAAAAAAATTCACCAGCTTATTTTAAAGCGATTCTGTCCAAATCCAATTGATCTGGTTCAACTGGTTTTTGGGGTTGTTTTTAAGCACTTTTTGATGACTAGAGGAGCGTTGACGTTTTTTTTTTCTTTGGAATTTTTTTACAGTTCCAGTCGCTACCTGTTCCCAAAGCAGCTTCAGCTTTATAATGTCCTTTTCGTTGTTATGTTGGCGTAGGTCTTTGGAATTGAATCAAGTTGTCATTGAAAAAATCAAATTTGTATGATTTTCGGGCAATTAGAAAAGATTTCTCACCTTGCACTCTAGAAAACTCGGTTTTTTTACACGTTCACTTTTTCCCATTTTACTGGGAGCTTTTCTATGAGATCAATCCCAGATAACAACTGTGGGAGAGTCTTTTCTGAGAAGTTCTTCTGAAAAATTTAGCAGAAAATTCAAAAAAAAACCATGAGTACTGAAGAAAGCTAGAAAATCCGCAGGATTCATGGACTATAAGGCTTCTCGGAAGGCGTGAAAGTAGAGGTTGTACGAGATTTCCATGACGGAAATGGCATGGAAAAGGTATTTGGACGAGAATTCGATTGTTGCAATAACGTAAAAAGCTGCTGGCTACATTAAATCAAAAATATTCAAAACTGCTTTCCACTGTGGCCATGGGTTACAAAAGTTGTATGAATTTCCAACATCAGTGTCCCCTGTATGTAATGATGCAACCTCTACAATGCCGTAAAAACTCGTCCGTTATTGGGTGTCGCCCGATACAATCTGGAATCCTTTTACGCCCAATATAGGCCGTTTTTTGATCTGAAAGGGCCACGTTTGGTATACAAGCGAATTACAGATTCATCCTAAGGGGGAATCTCGGGAGTCCTTTTTATCGTCAATGTGCCTTCAATCAATAGCTGCTAGATTAAGCAAAATTGCAGTTATTACTCAATCAGCAGACCCCCTTTTAGTGGAAAAAAATATCCTTTCGAAAAGCCTCTTCGATTTTGAGTGGCAGTCGAATACGTTGTGTACTTCTTAACGTGAAGCTTTTCGTTTACTGATAAAAAGAAAACTGGTAATGTGACATTCTTAACAATAGGGTCGTCATTTTGAACCCTTCAACTCGTCTCTATTCTCAAATAATCTGATTAGCCCTTCAACTTTAGCCCTATGCATTTCATGCTTTGTCTTCTTCATTAGTAATGGTTTTCTCATCAAATGAATCGTCAGTTCGATTCCCTTCAACTCGTTTCTATTTGCACGGCGCTTGTAATATACTAAAAAAATTGTTTTAACAAAATTTTCCCTCTATGTGAAACAGTTTTTGTTGTAATGAAAATCTATTTTTCGAAAAAAAAATTTGACGGTATTTCCGATACCACGAATTATCAGGGGTTTTTCTAGAACTTTTACAAAAATTTCGAGTTACCAGAAACCTGCTAAGAAAATTTCCTTACAGTTTTTAAAATATCTTCAAAAATCCACAAACTTTTGAGACTCTCAGATACTGAAACTTTGCTGTTCGGGAAAATTCTTTCAACAAAACTTTACTTCATTGAAAATTTTTGAGGAATCTTCATGAAATTTTACTAGAATTTGAAAGTAGTATGAATCTGTTCTTCTTAGAAATGATTTCGATAAAATCGGCATGCCCAGCCTTTCTGAGAAAAATGACCGATCCAGTCATGCGTTGCCTGTCTCAATTCGCATTTATCACGCTTGGCCGCTTACCGAAGAAGGGTTTCGGCAAGTGGCAGCTAGCGAAAACAGTCTGAATGGAATGGTAGACTTTTGAAAAGCCTGGATTCTTCGTGATAGAAAGTGTTCTGACAGTGGACGGTAAAAAATTTTCCCCACTAATTTGTCATATTTGCATTGGCCACCGAGTCTCTTTGCTTTGGAGTGAAAAGATAAAAAACGAACATACTTCCGACATGGCCCAACCACTGTGGGATACGCACACGGACTTTTCATCGTTCAAAAATCGTCATTGTGTTTGAATGGGTAACTGATTCTACAATGAGTTTCATGGGCCAAATGATGCACGATTTGGTAACTTTACCTTCTTAGTCGGAAATTTAATCAAGTAGTTAAATCCAAGGTGGAGATGGGATTCATCGATCATTGCACAGGCCACCATCTTGTATACTTTGGAACTGTTCAACTGTATGTGCCTTCACGTATAGCTGGCTACAGTAAGCTTCCTGGGTGCAACGCGTGCGTCCCGGTGCGAATAGTGCAGTAAACTTTATGGCTTCCACAACGTCCCCTTTCGTGAGAACTCGTCCCCTTTCAGGTTTGTACTTCAGCTACACCGGTTTTGAGGTTCCTATTACACCCTACATTAGCCCTTTTCGACTCGATAACGTCCCTTGTGCTATCTTTGGGGGTCACAGGTTCAATGTGGAAAGANGTGCAACGCGTGCGTCCCGGTGCGAATAGTGCAGTAAACTTTATAGCTTCCACAACGCCCCCTTTCGTAAGAACTCGTCCCCTTTCAGGTTTGTACTTAGCTACACCGGTTTTGAGGCTCCTATTACGCCCTACATTAGCCCTTTTCGACCCGATAACGTCCCTTGTGCTATCTTTGGGGGTCACAGGTTCAATGTGGAAAGAAATCTCAGAAACAATTTTAATCGTGAACCCTGGCTTTGAACAATCTCAAAGAATCCTGCAAGGCACAGGTTATGGGAATGTGATTCGATATAGCTTTATGGTGTTTGGTCCCCGGACCATTTTGTTAGAAATGGCCTTTTCCACTACCCTAATCTACCTCGGATGGGATTAATCCATGATGCCTTCACTAGAGTCCAAATAGTATCGCCGTAATCAAATTTACCACTATCGCCTAATGTGCTCCCAACGAGTATGAAGCACATCCAGGCCCCTGTTTTTCTTTTTTGAATAAATTATTCTCTTATACAATTCCCATGGAGATGGTAATGTTTTTTCACAGGTGTATATGCTGCCTGAATTGCTTGTCTCATTACAACTGTCGAGTTATCACCTCTATTTACCAATATGTTTATTTATCCTCCCATTAATTTATTTATTAATTTGTTTACTTATGTAAAAAACCCAGTCAATCATTTTAATACACGAAAATATGCCCTGAAATTGAATCAGGGAAGGAATACTTTCAAGGCTTGATTCACTGTAATTCATATTTGTGCCAATTCTATAAAAAATAATAGCTGATATAGTTATATGTTTATTATTTGGTTGTCAATGGTTATTTTTCATACTTTCCTTATAATTCTATATTATTTATGAACTACATGTGGCATTTTTGTATTCTTACTCGTTTATGTAAAATTCTTCTCAATTTCAGTCAAATTCACCGGTGACCGAAGATTCCTTGGTAACGATTCGGATGCGACCTGACGCTATGGGGCGGTTTGGGTTCAATGTCAAGGTGAGAGCAATTATTTGAATTAATTACTGTAAATCGTTTTTGATTGTAATCTAAAATAAAAGTCGATTCTGTTGTTCAGGGCGGTGCTGATCAAAACTATCCCGTAATTGTATCGCGAGTAGCACCAGGAAGTTCCGCTGACAAGGCCCATCCACGACTGAACGAAGGCGACCAGGTACATTTTCAGATGATGGTTGTTATTTACCGTAGTGGAGTTAATACATAAATAATGAGCAAAATTCAAATTAATGGGTGGAAACAGACGAGGGTGGCCCAAAATTCATCAGGGCTTTTTTTGTTAGGAGAGCGGCAACCGATTACCAAGTCAATGACCAGTGAAAGTCCACTTTTTGTCCTTCTACACCCTGGCACATCGTCCGTTTGCAGGATTTTAAAATTCTTCCTCTGCTGCACCAATTAATTCCATTATAGCGGAACATTTTCGATAAAAGTAGAAATTACTCTCGAGTATTGCTACAGTAGAAAGCGCTTCAGAATTTCAAATAATTTCGTTTCAATAGTGGAGTAGTGTAGGACACGGATCTTGCGATACAGTAATCCACAGTCGTGATCCCTAGCTTATCTTTGTCTATGGAAAAACTCTGTCTCGAATTCACACCACTGGCGTCCAGTGGAGCTTGCCCAAGGCCTTCACTTGTTGTGTCGTATATGTGACGGGTTTTAACGATTACTGTAGAACAATATCCGCGAATTTCAAAAACTGTGGTGTACCTATGCTTCTAGAACTCAACACCTACTTCTACCCCTCAGTTTTTGAATTTCATTTTTTTTTTCCGCACATAGGAAGGTGGTTGTGATCAATCGATAATAACTGAATGAGTGAATTTTAATAATTCAATGATTCAAAAAAAAAAATAAAAGGGTTCTAAGAGTAGTGGTAAAAAGGAATTAACATCGTAAGGATAAAGTGCTCGGTGGCAGGAAACCACAAGGTAGGGTTCTAGTCCCGTCTTAGGCCTACAACTCACAATCCTTGTGGAACTTAATAGTTGAATTTTGATAATCTACAGTTAAATAAAAAATAAATGTTATTAATGAAAAATAAAAGATCTAAATATATCGCCATACACAAAATGAATTTTTCCATGTTTCATCGTACTAAACGCCTTTTTTTCAAGGTCCTCTTCATCAATGGCCGTGACGTCACGCCGATGTCCCATGATACCGTGGTTGATTTCATCAGAAGCGCTCGATCGGCACNTTAATGAAAAATAAAAGATCTAAATATATCGCCATACACAAAATGAATTTTTCATTCATTTCATCGTACAAAATGCCTTTTTTTCAAGGTCCTCTTCATCAATGGCCGTGACGTCACGCCGATGTCCCATGATACCGTGGTTGATTTCATCAGAAGCGCTCGATCGGCACCAAACGGCGGCGAGCTCGTCCTAACGATTAAGCCCAACGGTACGATCCACCCTTCTGTTTCTAACATTCTTTTTTTTCCTTTTTTATTCGGTTTTCATGATTTGTGAACAGGTTACGCAGACTAACTAAAACGAAAATTCAGTCCGGCACTCCTCTTATAGTAACCTCCCAGCTTACCCTACCACCCATCCCCGTGTCCCCCGTGTCCTTGCCCAAAGCCTTTTTTCGACCCGTCGTATATGTGACGGGTAAAAATTTGCGTATTAACACGTGCCAGATTACTGTAAGAGTCAAGTGCCGGACTGAATTTTCGTTTTTGTCGCAGACTATGGCATAAAAGCGCCCGTCAATGAGTTGTTTTTTTAGTACCACTTCGTCATTAACAGTAACTTTTTCGGCAAAGCCCCTCTCTTTGGGTTATTACTGGGATCCATAAGTCCTTGAACTAACAATAAAACCGCTCACAACAGGCTTCAGGAAGAGATTCTTTTGAATCGGTCTTTTCATGAGTTAACTGAACAGCCCCGTGGAAGAAAAATCGCCTTTCGAAGGAATGTTCTGCATTTTTTACGTAAAATTAGTACAGAAGCGCTGATGTTGAATGAGGAATAACAAGTGGTTTCGAAACGAATCAACTGGTTTTAGTGTATCGACTTGGCGAAGAAGTGGAAGAACCGGAAGGTGCAGCTCTTCCGGAACAGATGCGTGTGGCGGAAAGTGTGCCGCGAAGCGATAAACTATCCCATTCCCTTAGACTNCTTTCAATTTTAGCAACTCTATCGAAAAAAACCGGGTATGACGATGAATGACTGCCGATTAACGTCGAATCTCAATAAAAATAGGTAACTCTCAGATTTTTGATTACCAGTTATGGAACTGTTGAACTCTTGAATTGGTAAGTAACGGACCCTTTTTTTTAGGTACCGAGATGTATGTCCTTATGATGCGACAAGGGTACGATTAAGCTCATCCCCAAATGGTGATTACATAAACGCTAACTTTGTTAATGTAAGTTGAATCTATTTGATCAATTTTTTATTTATTTTTTTTTTTTGATAATATTGGGCAGACGTATGAGACCTCAAAAATCTATTTTAAAAGTTAAAAACACCAAAAAAGTCTTTTTCTTTGATTCTACTTACTTCTACTAATTTTTTCTATTTTCTTATTAAACGGCCAAACTTTAGATGGAAATCCCTTCGTCGGGTATTGTAAATCGCTACATCGCCTGTCAAGGACCATTGGCCCACACTTCAGCCGATCATTGGCTTATGGTATGGGAGCAGTTATGTACGCACATTGTCATGCTCACCACTACTATCGAACGAGGTCGAGCCAAATGTCATCAGTACTGGCCAAGGTGGGATTTTGCAACAGAGGATATTTTTCTCTTTCAAGGGTAGTCGCAAGGGCGAATCTGTACTGGGCTACATGAAGGGGTTGACAAGCGCTGATTTCTCCACTTTTTCGATTGATTGGAGAAAAAGCTCAAGAGCTGCTTCTTAAGGTTACACGAAAGTCATGAGTATGGTCGTCTTTTGGTAACTTGTATCCGTGATCATGACACGCCAAACTGCTCCTATCGTGAATTTTCCGTCCGGGATCGAACGGTCAGTTTCATTTCAATTTTCGTTTATACTTAACTATTCGGTCGACTGTTCTGGCCATGAAAGATGGGATGGCTTTCCCCGTTACTCGTCCCGATCCCGATCTTGACTGAAATGGAATAGCTATTCGGGGGATAACATTTTTAAATGGTAGAAGGAGCATAGGATAGGGAGGGCAAGGGATTTTCAGAACGCAGCAAAGTCCTAGTTTGGTCCTTTCGTTGCTTTGAAATTCGCCCTTTTTCTCATCATTTTTCATTTGATGGCTCTCTGGCAGAGCACCCCTCCTCCTTTCTTTCTCCTTCGTCACTACTTTGAATTGGATAGAGCGACTTTCAGCAGCTAATCAACTGAAAACTGCACAAGTTGTAGACTTAGGATGTCCTGAAATTACTAAAATAGTCCTGACGTTGCCGTGACATACAGTGTTACTTGAATCTGCTAGTGAAAAGACGAAACTAATGCACTTAAAGTTTTTTTGTTCCAGTCCAAAGAAGAGCGACGAGTGACTCAAATGCAGTACACTGCGTGGCCTGATCATGGTGTTCCCGACGATCCACAGCATTTCATCTCATTCGTCGGTGAGGTAAGTGATGAAACAAAATTTGGAACAATTCCAGAACGAGACCATCCTATCGTCTGCAAGTACTAAAAAGTATGTTATTAGGTTCGCCGAGCACGGGCGGGCAGTGTCGACCCGATTGTCGTGCATTGTTCGGCAGGAATCGGTCGTACCGGAGTACTGATTCTGATGGAAACGGCTGCATGTCTTGTGGAGGCAAACGAGCCAGTCTATCCGCTCGACATCGTACGGGTAATGAGGGATCAAAGGGCGATGGCCATTCAAACAGCGGTTAGTTTCAGTTTTTCCCAAGAAGAGATCAGTTTCAGCAAGGAAGTAAACGATCCTGCCCAGAGAGCAGCATGGTGTTGTGGAATTCCCAGTCAAGGAGATTTCCCACCTTCTCCTCCTCTCCATCCGTCCCTAGTTTACGCTCGCTGGAGGGTCACCTCAACCTTCGTTTTCCAATTACTGCTACCACTTCGATTCCTTTTCCCTTCCCCTGCAAATGTCTGACGTCCAGAAGAAATTTCGGGTGAAGGAGATACCGTGAAAATGCTGACAATAACAGTCCCCCGAAAGTGCCCATACTTAGTAAATTACTTCACAAAGACATTGCCTACCTCTAGAAAAACTTAGCCGCTCTTCCCATACCCGTACGCCATCGCCTTGGAATGTTCTTTGCGACCCGCGCACAAAAATTTTTCCCATAAGAGCGCCGACGCCACTTCTGAAATCATTGTGGTGTGGTGGTGTACAGGTAGTAGGGGCGTGTCGCGATTACGAGATGATGGGATCGAGGTTAGAATGGGACAGTTTTTTGCTGATCACTCTATCTTTGATCACTCTGCCGTCTCTTTCCTTAAAGATTCTCAGCACTCAACCTATTTGGAATACGATTCACTTGCGGTAGGAGGTGGTGGCAGAGGAACTGCTGTCGTCACAGGTGCTAGTGGTGGTCGTCGCCAGTGACTGCCGAATGAATGGCCGCTCGGGAACTCCACCGAAACACGTTCCGTGAGAGTGGCATGTCCAAAGGACTACGCACCGAACCTGTTCTGTGTGCGGTGCGGTAGCGGCTCTGTTGCGTTGGAGCTCTTCTTACTCGGCTGAGGAGTTGGCAACGTAACTACTTGTGCAGGCTTGGGGGAAAGGCGCGACGAGGCCGAAGCAGCTACGCCACCTTCGAGGGAAGGAGTAGGAAATTCTGCAGCTAAGTCGGTTTGGGTGAGTATGGAAACAGTTTAAAATTGCAGCTTGTCACAATTACATATGGATTTCTGTGAGCTCGTATATTACGAGTATTAACCGAGGCCCTATAATGCTTAGAACTGTCTCCCATACACCGTAACGGGTCTCGAAGGGTCTGATAATCATCCGAAAAAGTGCATTTGTAAACTTCAGCTCTAAGAAAACTGCTTCAAAAGATATGCATTCCGTATCAATTGGCACCTGAATTCTGTAATCAGAAAAGCCTAGTTTCTGAAGTTCACGAAACCGTACTTTCAATGGGCGCTATAGTTTTTGTGAATACGCAGTCGAGGCGGTCAGTAACTTAGTGGCGGTTGCACGAAGGACACGCTAAGGGCTGCCTAGAGTTGAAGTTACGCCAGTAATCAGATCCTTGAGAATCTCCCTGCTGGCACTAGGGAGTGTTTGCATTGAGAGAATGGGTCCCACAGAATTCGGGGTGAATTCGGAAGCATTCGTTTTCATCGGTGACGATCAGATCAACGGGCTTGCGTGAGTCGCTTCAGGGCAATTTTCGAAGAACTCCCTTCACTTGTTGCGACGAATACTCCATTCAAGGACGGACATGAGCCTTGAGGTAGGAAACACAGGCGAGGGCATCCAAACAAAGTTCGTGATAGTGCTCAGAAACAGCCCCGAACCAGGTAGCTGATGGTCTACTATATGTACCCTGGCAGCCTCTAGAAAGTACCCGCAAGGAAACTGCTGTACCGGTGAAAACCCTTCAACCGCTGATATCAGAGCGGTTCCGCAGTGGAGACTGGGAGCCTTCTTTGTGGCCGTACGCAAAATTTTTCCTATATGAACAACCATGAGACTGATATGATTGTCCTGTTCCCATGGTGCAAAGGTAGTGGGGGCGTTTCTCAGCCGTTAGAGGGTGGCTCGAATGTCACATGCGGCAGATTTTTGCCAATCACTTTTATCACTTATCAGTCTGTCGTCTCTTCTTCGAAGATTTGCTGCAATCAACCGAGTTGGAATACGATTCACTCGCGATAGGGGTGGGTGGCCTAGGCGTCATCGGCAGAGTCAGCCCGGGTGCGGGCGCCGGTCATCGCCACTGGTTGGCGATCGAGAGGCCGCATCCGAGCAGCCCACCACGGAACGCTTTCCTTAGTGCCCCGTCCTTCGGGACTTGGCGTCTTGTTTGGTGGCGTTGTACTGTGAGGGCTCCGCCGTTGAGGCGAATTTTTCTGCCCAGTGAGGGTTACGTGACTCTTGCGGGCCCTTTTGAATGCGCCGGCATGGCGGTGCAGTTGCCGGGAGCGGTGGCTGCCGTCGTGGCCTACTCCATGCCTGGAGCGAGGAGTGGCGGTGCAATTTTTCAGTGCTGCAACTGGACGGCACGGCCCTGGGCCAATTTTTGGTTAGGGTATGCCCCGCTGCGGCTTAAATTTTGTCTCCGATCGATTGGGTGGTCGATATCGATCAGTCGGCGGCGATGGCTTTGCTCGATCGATCAGCCAGGGAAGCCTTCGATGGGACGAAAAGGGGAATCGGCAAAAAATTGCAATTTGGCAAAAATCCGGGCATGACCGAGTCGGAACCCCGATCCCGTGAGTACCAACGGCCCTATATCGTTCTAAGCCATTCAGCTCGACATTGTGTAGAGTTCGGAGGGGGCTGATAAACCTTGCGCACTGAACCCGCGTACTGAGAATGTAGACCTTCGAACCCGCCCATTCCCTGACCAAATGATCACCCAACAGCTGGCCAATATACGAGATCAGTGAGACCCGACTGAAAGGATTCCCCTCGTCCGTCCTCCAAGCAAAAAAAACCGACAACTCCAAGACCTTACCCTTCTCATTCCTCGGTGGCTTCCATCGACCAGTCAATGGATCGGCCTCTCAGGTACCACAGCCGCCCACATCCCGTCTCGCTGCTCCATATCTGACGCTGGTCTACCATAGGCACAACATTATGCCTGCTAGAGTGCCACATTAATTCCATTCAAAATTGGAAGCCAGCGTTGGATATGTAGCAGCGTGATACCTGTTAACGGATATGAATCCGCTAGTGGAACGTGGTGACGTCTGGGCGGCAGTGGTTCAGGCCCGGGTAGGTTTGGGCCGAAATATTCAAAGAGGCGCCACCCGCAACCAGAATGACTCCCTTCGGATGCCTACCCCATCGACCCCCTTCCTAAGTGAGTCGTATTCCAACAAGGTTGAGCGCCACAAATCTTTATTAGACGGCAGGCTGATAATTGATTGAAGCTCGCCGATGTCGAGTACTCGACCGATCGAGAGCAAAATTCATCGCGCTCCTGGCGTCTATCCCAGCCAAATCCCGGCCCTTCTTCAAAAAGGAGAGGTCTGGACTGTCGGTCGCCATCAGCGGCAACCGCGACACCACTATGGCGCAAATAAAAATTCCTTCAGAGAGGTGGATCTCTCCTCGCCGGAGAGATGCCGTCTCCAGCGACGGAGCACTCACCTCCCGACGATCTCACAGCACAGGCTCGGTGCAGCTCATAGCCGTCGACGGGCTACGAGCCGTGGTGCCGTGGATGAGCCCTATACGGTGGCTCAATCTCTGACTAACGGCGCTCGACCGCCACCCGAAGTCGGGCCAACTTCAAAAGTGACGCCTCTCCCATCGACGCCCTTCGCAAGTGAATCGTATTCCAACTCGGTTGAATACCGCAAATCTCTGAAGGGAGAGACGGCTGATTGATAATTGACAAAAGTGATCGGCAAAAACGTGCCAACAACGGTTTTCGAACCCACCCTCTTACAGCCGAGAACCGCCCACACTACCTGTGCACCATCGAACTACGATGTTCACGGTGATCTTATAGCCGCTTTTATGGGTGAGGCTCCACCCGCCGCTGAGAGACGAGGAGGTAGTGCAAGTCTCCTAAGAAATGGCAGATTTTCGACGGTAATCGCTGTTTGGCAGAAAATTGTAGGGTTCCGTCGTCGATCTCACTCGTTCTTGACCAGCACCGCGCATTTAACCACTCAACCATGTGGAACACGTTTTCGTTGCTGTACAGGGCCTCATTACACATGACCTGCTTGAATGAATATACTGAAGGCCTCGGCAGAAGTAATAGATCCCATCCTCCCAGATCTCATGATCCTGATGCTTTCTGCGTAGTAAGAGCTCTCCCCAACTTATTCCCATAGTCCATCCTTTTTCTAGTCAAAAAAACACCAAGTCGTACTAACTCGTCCGAAAAAGTGCTTGAATTCACCATGTTCACTTGTTAAAGTTTATTTGTTTGCTCCCACCCACATCAACTTCCCAGCCGAGACATTCGAATGACACCACCCCCTGCCTCCTCATCTCTACCCCGGGAAGTGGTCCGTCCTCACGTTACCTATATGGAACTGAACGGCTATTACCCTGATAGTTTCCCTATACTCTACCCATGCGACCTATCCCATTGTGTTTTAGTAGATGCGTGTATCTCTCGATAAGAGAGAACAGAGAAAAATTGTTGGAGGTGGGGCGCGCAGGGAGGGAAGACCAGGAAGGGTCAGAGAGTCGGGAGGGAATATTTTCAGGTTAGAACTCATAACATCCAAAAATGGAACTTAGGATTCGTTACTTCAGAGTAAAGGTTAAACGCTTTCCCTTATTTTCAGGGTCAATATACGTTTGTATGCGAATCGATCTTGCGTGCTTACAATGACGGTATTATCAAGCCGTTAGCCGAATATCAAAAACGGTAACCGGCCGAGGACCAGTTAATCCCGCCCCCATCCGTCCGTCCATCCGTCCGTCCGTCCGTGTATGCAAGATACGAGTCAGCAGGGTCTTCCACTAATACTATATTGTTCGACATGAAACCAAAGCCATTCGCGAAAAATCGCGCGTGTGTTGTAGTGCAGATTGTTATTTTGCTAGTCATACTGTACTTCATTCTCCTTTTTTCCTCGCTCTCTCTCTCTACTACCGTATCTTTCATGGCATTTCCTCCACATGTTTTTTTTGTCATTCGCGTTCGTTGATAATGTTGTAAAACACCCCCGAAACGGTTATCAGAGAGCCCTCTTTGTGACAGAGGGTGGTCTCGTTGTTATTATTTTTCTATCGTTTTTTTTTNNTTTTTTTTCTTTTCTACTCCTTTTTATTGGTGCTTACGTAGAAACAGAGTCGCCAGTTTCGCTCATGCTCTGTTCTGAAGAGAAACTAAATCGATTTGTATGAAATAATAATTCTGTGATCATAGTTATTGTAGAGTACAGCTTGATCCGCTTGATTTTTTTTGTAGAAAACCTTGTCTGCTTCAAAATCTGTCAAGAAATGTGTAATATTTTATGCAGTCGTTCATTTCAAACGTGCCTATGTCGCCCGCTTCAGTGTTTGGACTGTAATTACAGACCGACGGCATCCCAGCTTCTTCTCGAGCGCGTGCATTCATAGTATGACGCCGTTGAAGATGGCGTCCCGTGGATGCGCTAAGCCCCTAAGCCTGTTAGGTTAGAGAAGCTAAGTGTTTTAAGAGAGGAAATTCTTTCCGCATTGACCAGAGGATACACCCAACTCGTACAAAATGGTCATACAGATGGTCGCATCTCCGCCCACATCTGACGAGTTCTCCTGTGCATAACTTAACCTCCCAAAGAAATGTTGAGTACTGCACATTGAAAAGTACATGACCATTACCCTCTTGGAATAAACAGACCAATTAAACGGTGGCGTACCAGGCGCTTCCTTAACAGCGCTAATCCAATCAACAGGACAGCGCGATGTTATCAATAGAGCACCTTTTTCTGCACCGGACAACTCGTCCGGAACCAGTTAGAAACCGTTTGAAATGGACATCAATGCAATCTAATTTTATAGAACCGTAATAATTTTCACCAAATTCAGAAACTTGTCTATTTGTTGCTATTATTTGCATATTTGAAGTGATATTGAAGAATGCCTTGAATAAAAACATTTATGTTATAAAAGTGAAACTCTTATGTGTCAAACTATTCACAGTATACAATACAAACAATGAATGAATGGAAATGCTAGTACGATTCGATCGACGGGGATTGATAGGAAGACGATAAGGCTAAAAACTGCTTGGAACCCCATCGTCTAATTTCTACAATGAAATGTCGAAAAACAAAAGAAATGAATCAGTCATTGAAGAAATGAAAATTTCTTATTGATATCACCGGAGGATCAAAGAAATGCACCAAAAAACACTTCATCAAGGTCGCGAAATGCTTTTTGTGCTCACAACTATCGGCAAGTGGGTTGAGGTTCGACAAAGGATGCCTCAAAAGCATTAACGACGACATACATACGTACCTAACAAGTTCCAAACTTGCGCTTATCAACATTTTCATGCGTATATTTAGAGTTTCCACGCAGAAACTTCACAAACTATAATCACTACGGGAATTATTTGATGATATCATTATAAATACAAAAAGAAAAAATGTGACAAGAGATAGTCGAGATCTTCCCGACGACAAGAACAATATGAAAATACGGTACAATCTCACCGATATGTAACCCTGATGCCCGAATGAAGAACTATGAATTTCCAAACGGCCACAGATCGTCCTGCAAACTGTAGCCGCCATGGAATTCGCTATGGGCGACCCTGTCAGGGCCTTATAGAGATCAAGAACGTCGTTACGGAATCGCTTAGTCGAGCATTAGATTCATGGACAATTTTTCCTTGTCTATCACATCTGGCCAGCAGCTACCATCCAATTCACGACATTCACCGTGCATACGACAGTGAATAGAGCACATTTTCAGTTCATCGAAAACTGCCCAACGTACTGTTGTTGAGGTGGGAAGGGTTGCATTCCTTGAGAATATCCAGCAGGGTAGCCAGCTGGTGGAGCCATCGGTTCCATCATCGGTCCGGGAGGACCCATCGGTGCTCCTCTCATACCCATCATACGTTGACCGCCCATGAACCCCGGCGCAGACGGATCGACGCCGCTAGCGAACCTGAAATGAAATGCTTTTAAAGCATTAAAACGATTCTTCAATATAGATTAGCAACTTGAGCACCTAGATAGTCGAAAAAAAAGGTAGCCGGGTAAATCAATTGCGGAAAAAGCCCCAATAATGACTGGCTGCAGGTAAAATTACTGACCGATCAATTGAACATCCACTTTTTCGGCAAATATATATATGCAAATATTGATGCTCTTTTCGAATTGAACGCTCGGTTGAAGTAAGCAAAAGAATCACGAAAAGATTCCCAGCAAAATCATGAATTTCCCTTCTTTCCGAGCTTTCGAACAGTGCTGACAACCGCTTCATTCAACTCGGGCCTCATTTGCCAGCTGTTTTTACAAAGTTTCAAATAAGTGAGAGCGAAATGCAAGAGGGGAACAGCTAATTTAGCTACAGTCATTCTCATTCAGCTCACGTCCCCTGCCTATCCCAAGTACATTTCCTTTGAAATCCAGAACATACCGTGAAGCATGCAGCGCATTTGAATAGCCCAAAAATTCTTGGAACTTGAAGGCTTAATATGTAAATAGCCTCATTGAAGTAACAGATAATCCGATTCCGACAAAATTTGGCAGCCAATTTTATTGAACTCTTCACAGAGAGAAAATGGAAGGACTACTGGTGGCGTAGAGAACTTAAGAATTCACACAGAAAGCTTCCAACAATCACAAGTAGTACAAATATGATTTAGGATGTAATATCAATTGAAAACAAAGAGACAGACGATAAAATAACCAAATTCACCGTGTCTGTTGCATCTTTTGCATGTGCATAAAGTACTGTTGTTGTGACATGCTTGCTCCGTTTGGATAGCCTTGGTACATCATAGCGGCTGAAAGGAAATTATCATAAGTTACTCAGGGTGACCCTCGTCGGTAACACACAGGGGAGAATAAATGTTTACAAGATTACTAAAAACTTAAACCTTATAAGTTTCCAAACAGACCTAAGTTAAGGTGAAAAAATATGAAAAAACTGCCATGGAACTCTAAAAGAGACAGAAAATAAGCCTGCGCTTGTACTAATAAACCAGATTTTCTGCCGTAGTACGATTAAAAACTAGTCGAAACCACTCATTTTGCAAAAAAACGTCGCTAACTAGCAGCAAAGTAAACGTAAACTATTTAACAAATGTAACTAAATAAAATGCAACGAAAAAATGAAAACATNAAAAAAAAATTATATGCAAAAATAGACCCAGGCAGACTGAAAATCTGGGAGTGAAGACAACAGGATCGTACTGAATCGGTTCATATAAAGTAGGTGTGATACATAGTACAGAAGTGTTATATAGTCGAGCGTACGAGAGAAGGCCTTTTGCATGACAGTTGACAATTTTTGCCAAGTGAGTAGGTAGCATCGATCGAAGAACACAGTGAAGGAACAGCTCCCAACCATACCCCAAAGAGGACACTGGCTTCGAAAATGATGCGAAAGGGATCAATCAGCGAAAGGGTCAGTAATCTCGTTGTGGTGGTCAAACACACTCTTGGATTGAATAAAACCCTTCCTCACTCAGTAAGCTGTATAAATACCGCCAATGACTATATCACTGAATTGTTTTCGAATCACGGGAATGTAGAGGTTTGTTTGGAAAAAACGACATCCCAAGAACGGTACATTGAAGCTTGATCTCTGCTACTTATTAGATTCTCAGCGGAGAGCCAAGAGGTTAGTAATGCATGAGGAAGACAACAACAAGTCAATGGAGTCACATGACAAAACACTAAACTGATTAGATTGAATGAAAACGAGTTAGAAAAAATATGAGCATCGGCCAATCTCACCTGCATGGCCATTTGCTGTTGTTGACTCATATGCGCTGAGGATGGCATATCGTATCCCGGATACCTTAAAAATTGATTTTCCATGATCCTTCAACAATGGCTACTAATTCACGACTTAAACAATCAGTTAGAAACTTCCGCTTACCCATTCATCCCGAATGCAGGGTTTACCATGCCTTGTTGTGCCATAAACGCAGGATCCGGTGTATTTGGAATCATCCCGCCAGAAGGAGCACACGCATAAGGATTGGATGTTGATGGCTGTGGACCCGAAGATGGGTAAACGGGAGCTGATGGCATTTGCTGCACATACGCACTTTGTTGCATGGCATTATGTTGAGGATAATTCGGCGGTTGAGGTGCGGAGGAAGGAAAGCCAACATTCTGGGATGAAGGGGCCATAGGAAAGTTTGTTGATGTTGCCATCGTCGAAGGTGGAAAATTCTCGCCATGCGATGACGATGGTTGTTGGAAAAAGGAAGCTTGTGATTGGGAATTTTGCGGGAACGATGACGGCTGGTTGGGAGACGTCGATGGAAATGCAGCCGACTGCTGTGGCGATGAAGGAGGTCGAAATGTTGGCGGTTGAGGAGATGATTGCGGAAAACTGCTCGATTGGGATGTAGGTACTTGGGAGGGGAACGGCGTCGAAAGAGGTGCAGACGGTGTCGGTGTTGACGGCGGATTACAATTACTGTTACTTTGAGGGGCCTGAAATATGTTGAAGTAATTCGACTGACTCATATAGCTAACAAAAACGATCCACTTACAGAATGAACCGAGTGGACGCTTTGAGGGCCTCCATGTGAGAATCCTGCTGGAGAGGAGCTCTGGTCAGTTGACGTTACCAAAGGTACCTACAAAATGGAAGAAACTTGCAACACATAGACTCAAATCTCATAGAGGTAGCGCTCTTCAAATCAGAACTGCAGGAATCCCACAAATTTGGGTCCAATCTTTTAGGGAAAATGATCTGGCTAACAATAAGAGGAAGCTACTTAAAAAAGGTAGTGAATGCACGAGTTTACCTGTCCAGCGGCTCCATCATTATCACCAACATCACTGTCAAACAGGGAATCGACCGCATCAGCCCCGAGCATTCCCAGACTATCTGTGCGTATACTTGTAAGCATCTTTGTCATGTTGTCCTCGTTCACAGCGTTGCATCCAAGATCTTCAGCGGGGCTGCGTAAACTCTGCTCTATTATTGCAGAGCTAGTACATGAACTTCCTAGCGGTACACTCCCGGAATTGGCAAGGGCCGGAGGTGTTGGCACCTGAAATGGTCATTGTAATAAATTTTAATACCGTAACAACGAAAGTTCAGGCCACCCCGAAAAGTAATGCTTAATTATGGTGGAACAGGAATGGCTAGGAAGCAAAACAAATAGTAAACCACCAACTTCATTCGGTGACGTCGGGCACATCGAAGGACTTGGGCGCATTCCACAACTGTACGGTGTCGAGTCTGAGGTAGAGAATTGGTTTTGTTGCGACTGTTGTTGAATAACTGGAGTCGAATCAGCCGAGATAGGAAATTGAGGCAATTCCATCGAGGGATACCGTTGACCCATTGTCGATCCATCGGCAGTGGATGTTGATGGCATCGGCGAACAGGAAACAGATGATGATGATGCCGTCTGTGGCGTTGCAAACGAGTTCCCACGGAAATTTGGAGTTGATTTAGACGAAGAAAAATGTCCGTTTGGGGCAGGAAGAGCTCCATTCGGTGGATAGGATCCATGCGGGTAGGAAGCACCATTTGGAAAGACTGGACCGGGAAATCCATGCATAGCTCCTTTACCCTGTTGCTGCATTTCGGGCATCTAAAACATAATATACTATTGTGAACCCAAAATAAATCATAATAGGAAAAGCTGCTCAAAAGGAAACGTACCATCATTCCTGGGTAGAAAGTTCCATTAGGCGTGTGGTAAGGCATGTTACCGTACATGTCAGTAGACGACTTCGATAGTTCGGATACTCCAGATCCTAAAACCCGAGGAACTAAGCCATTAAAATAAAACCGTATTCAGCTAAACGCACCCTCCATCATGCGAAAACCTTGCCGCCACTCCTCATGACCATAATCGTTATTGTCAAGGTGACGCTTCCTGTCCTGAAAGTGAAAGATTGCAGAAAACGTAAAGACTAAAATCTAGAGGAATGGTCTCAAACTAGCGGAAAATTGAACCTACTCGGGTGTTGATAGGGGTCGATTGATACAGCGGTGGAGGCATATTCGATGAAACATTGCTACCGCTTAAATCATTCTTCTGTTTGCCCACATTTTCAGCTCGTTTTTTGGCTTCTTCTTCGAGCCATCTATAAAAAAAACTATATATGTGAAATGAGGAAAAAATCAAATTTAATTCTCTGGAACGGGAATTAATGTAAGCAAAACTACTCGTTGTAGATGGTTATCACTTCACCCAGGTGAATAAGCTCTCACTGCACTTGGCATACAAGGAATTCCAACAAGGAAGTAACCCTAATTAAGGCGAGTTCCGAGTCAACGGCACTTCACTTCACAAATGGGAGATTTTTTGACCAAAAAACTGGGACAGTTACTGACTAGTTAAACTTCTCGCTAACCTCAACTAGACGTGGTATGTTAAGAAACAAATAAATGTCATAAAAACATCAAATTCAAACAAATAAACAACAGACGAAACTTTCAAATGAAAGTGGAGTCAACATTCTGAACCCCTTGTTAAAGCAAGAAGTTCCATAGCGTATAAAAGCAAAAGCCGCCTACACTCGGTTTGGCCTGATCTAGCCGGTGTACTGCCATACTGACATCTTATCAGCACGAATGAATCAGTTCCAACACGGAATTCCTTCTGCTTAATTACTTTGCAACACCCTTATATCGCTCTCTCTTTATCGAAAACTCCGGGAAAAGTAGAACAAAATCAAAATCCGCTAAAGTCAAAAGTTGTACTAAAGTGAGGCAAACACACAATCAGAGTGATGTTCGGCTAGTGCGAAGACGTCACCGAACTTCGGCTACGCTCACGCTCAACTTCTTGCGCTCACGGTATTACTAGTTGAGATCCCTCCCGAAAACTCAGAACTACTGAAAGACTAGCAGTTTGGTCTCCATCTAACAATGACCGATGTGAGAGCATCCAATTGCAGAAGTAATTTGAAAGCTTCTATCAACTCAAGACCCACCACTACAACGAATTCAAAGCAGTACAGAGTGCAAAAAGAACACCAAGGAGCAGCTACGACACAAAGACTTGAGGAATCTCAAAGAAAACAGATGGTGCGATCACATTTCTAGCGAATAGCTCGCCTTTCAGAAACAGCTTTACGAACCACAACATATAAGTAGGAATCTATGTGAAGTACACACCTTTTGCGGAGTTCAAGTCGATCTTCTCGTTCGGCTACAATTTGTCTTTGCCGTGCTTCATTATACCTTTCACTAGCTATAGCAGCGGTTCGCTTCCAAGCTTCCATTGAAGCACGTAAGCGATCGGCGTCCGATGAGGTTGCTGAGGATGAGACCCTAAAGAGCGCCGGAACAAAATCAAGAGCACAGAGTATAGAGCACAGGGAAAAAGGAAAAACATAAAACGCTTCTACAAACATGCACTGCATCGGAGGAGGAATAGTGACTAACACCGGGGGCGGCACGAAGTAAAGCACTGATATGGGAATACGATGGAAAAAAACTTCCACAAAAACGGGATATCGATGTTACAAAAATGAACGTGACGTCGTTTACTTACGGTGGATCTGGTGTTGAGGCATTGCCATTGTTCAGAGTTGAGGACGGTGACTGGCCAGGCATCATAGCAACTTGCATCCTACAAAGCGATTGAACTTCTTGGCAGAATCAAGTTGAAAAGCATAAATCTTCGATAACACGTCAAATGATGACTTTGGCAGAAAAGAGATTCCAATTTTCCCTTCTTGATCAACCCACTTCATATTAGCATTATCCTCAGCTTTGAAGTCAAAACCATGGTCTGAGAACTTCATCTGACTAATGAAAGTTCACCGTTAAAGAGGCTGGTGTCTCAAAAACCAACCCCTGGGAGGTGATGTGTATTAGTACTAACAGTTATCCCTTTCTTTGCAATTAATCAATTAAAACACGATACAGTAAAATACTAAGATTTTCGCTCGGATAAGGGAAAATTGGAGGACACCATAATCGAAACAAATGAAAACGCGAGAAGAAAGCTTTCAATAGTAAAACAAAGTACGAACGAAAGGTATTTAATGTGATAGAGGATTTGATCTGGACGAGTTAGTAGTGACGTATGCAATCCAATAATCTACCGTGCTCACTTGCTAGTTTCCACTTCTATATGGTTTTTGTCGTGGACGTATTCCATGTGCTAGAGGAGACGATGTGTCTATCTACTAATCAACTTCCTAATTAAGCCACGTGCATTTGTTTACCGTTGAGAAGCGTTTAAATTAAAACTGAGTGAACTTTACGATGTGTCGCATGGATCACCTGTCACATGTATATCGATCGAAGCCGACGCCGACGCCCGTTAGCGCCTAGTGTAAATGCTGCCAACAAGCAATATGAGGTCATTGGCTGCTACAACGGAATAGCTGACCGTGACCAAAAAACAGAAAAAAACTCTTCCTACTCAGATTTTCATGCCATCCCTCTCAAAATTTCGGAACAAAGAGCGTATCAGGCTGAAAAGGCTTGGAAAGATGTACAGAAGCTCGCCCAGCCGCCCTTTCAAGACGGGATAAGTTCGCGAAGAACAGTAGTTTTTGACTGGTTTCAGCATCGGGTATATAAAAATCGGCATTCAAATGATTAAAGTCTCCAAAGGAAAACTTAGTGTCGACTTCTATAGATAGAACTGCATCTGAGGGACAACCAGAACAGGATTCTACATTGGAAATTCTCCTGAAGATATCCCTTACATAAGAAATCATGACCCATCTCAGTCTTAGAAATCATGCATGAGGATAAAGTAGAGAAAATTGCCAAAATTAAACAAAACGTGGAATATGACTGTGGATTCCCATAATTGTAGAAATTTGTGCAAAAAAAAAGAGGAAAAACGAAGCCATCAGATGGCAACCCGCGTTGGTTGTCATAGAGGGCAACCTTCTAGATAGCTCAAACTATGAAAAAATGAAGTTCAAATTGAAATTTTCACAATCAATTGGAAGGTGAAAAGAGTTGGTAGTTCGTTGAAAACTCCCATGCAAAATGCACGCACACTTCGATTAATTTGAAATCAGATAGAGCCCACAATGAAGGAGGTGAGCAAAAACGGCACACAGCATGGTGGCAAACATTAAAGTGCAAACGCGGTGAACGTTCTGAATACTAAAGAGGCTGAAGCTTCCACGAGCTAGCCACATCCCTTCCGCATATAAGCCTTCACTATCACATTGCGGCAATACTTCGAAATCAATTTTTAATAAATGTTTACATTTAGAAGCGAAAAAAGTTTCAATAGGTAAAACTTGGATACGATAAGAACCGTACTGCCTATGCAAAGGCGAACGACTAAAAAGAACTTTCGAGTCGTTATCTCATGCCGATCAATATTCTGAAGCTCAACTCGGCTCCAAAAAAGGTGAACCACATAAAGGCACATAATAAACCAATTAAACTTATATAGAAATGTCGATTGACGGTGTTAGAGAGATCAACAAAAAGAAAAGAATATTTTGGAATTCCGGTGGATTTCCCGACTTTTCTCAGCAGGAGTGGATTACCAATATGAAATGAAAAGTAACCACATATGAAACGCATGAAGGTTCTAGAATAGTAAGTATTTTCCATGAACAAAACCATGTGAGAACGAATCTTAGAGCAATGTCGTAAGCGATAAACCTCCGTAGGTTCGTTATCAGTTATGACCAATTCCTGACAAAGCAGTTCGAACGAGTCGGTGAATAACAATCTAGCTCATTCGATTCAAAACAACAACAGGTCTTCAGATAGCTCAATTCCTTAGTATATTCACACTTTCAAGAAATACTTGTAAAAATAAAGCGGAAATAATCAGGAAAAAGTAGTAAATCTCGAAGAATGATGATGATGATGCGATTGTAAGCGACTAGGATGTGTATATATGAGGAGAACGCTTTTCAGGGGCCGTGATGATGGCGGTAATTGCGAACCGATGGGGTCGAGTGACGAGAGAGAGGTTCGGGTGATGGTCGTCGATTTGCGGTCGCCCTGACCCAGTCTGACCTCACAAAAACCAAACACGTTAACCACATTGTCAATGCGTCCACTAATTCATCATGCAATCCCTACAACAAACCCAGGGCCTAGGAAATGTAAAATGAAACTAACAACCCTTAGTGTAATGCACTCTTCTTATCAACTCGAAAAGCAAAATTGCCAAAAAACAAAAAAATTGTCCAAAAAATATGCTGAAAAAAATTGAAAACCTTATTGTACGTTAAAAAAAAANAAAAAAAAAGGAAAATGAAAAAAAATGGGAATGGGAAATGTAGGAATTAATGGAATAATGGAATAAACCATTTTAGAGCGTAGCTAGGAACAACCTAAAATTGATCGTGTTCTGGATCGGAAGTTGGCCTTCAGGAGCAAAAATGGAAAGGATTGACTTAAATCTTATTCAAAACAGCATCATAGAAAAAGTAGAGCACCAATATGGCGAAATTTAGGCAGACATTAAACTACTTCATGTTTACCACACCTCAAAAAGTGTTATGCATTCCCTATTCATTCAGAATCATCGATGCAATGAAAATGGACTTTGCTCATCAATAACTACGTCATGAAAAAGTAAAACGTCCAAGTTGTGTTTTACATGCTGTTGAAATACTAAACCTGTCTCGAACATCGCCGAACACTACACTTTCCAAAAAAAAACCTTCGAACATGCCACGTCCATAGTGGATGACGTCAAGCAAAACTAAATAATTCAAGCTGGAAACACTTCCTCAGCCTAGAAGAAAAACTGCAGTTGAAAAATCAACTTAGGAAAGTTCGATTTGATCAACCATAAAAAATTGAGTAATTACTGAATAGTAACTAAAAGTAATTACTACTCCACAGAAAATGACTGATCAAGAAATCGATAGATTCTCGAGCCATTGTAAGAGATCATGAAGTAACTTGGACTCAAAACAGAGCTAATACATGCAAAACGATGGCATCGAGTCCATTTCTGCATAAACATGTTTTTCATACGTTTATGAATGAAGTAAAAATAACTGTGAACTCTCTCTCTGGATTAATCATTTCACCATAGACAACAGTATCTGAGGTTTTGCTCTAATGTTACTACCAGTTGTACAAGGGGAACTAGCAATTTTCGTTGGAAAGGTTGCTAAGAAAAATTTCATCAAGAAAAGGTCCTGTCCGGGATAAGTTCTACAACATTTCTGCTGATGCAGTATGGACCATTACGTCTAAGCTATTTACTGTATTCCAAAAAAACTGATAAGATAATCGCAGATTATCATCAACTGATCATAAGTCGACTTAGCGGATATGATTCACAATTTCTGTATCCTCTAGCTGAACGCTTGAAAATCTGAGCATCTGGATTTACTGTCCGCAGCAACTGATTATCTGGCCCTGAACTAAGTAGGCCACATTCCAGCGCAGGGCTAAATCAAAACCGTGTTCAATCAAGACATTCAAATCAGTATGTAGGGTAGAGAAAGGAAATAGAGGGTTCTGATGTGCCCTTTACCACAGCCATCCGGGGAGAGTCGTTCTTCAAGTGCAACCTCCCAATGAAGCCAAAAGCGTCAACTATTATTCCCGCATTCGGGCGTATTGTAGGATATGATGTAGTTTTATCTATTCAATAGAATAATGAAATTTGAAAAAAATTCAAACAACGAAGGAGTAAAGGGGACTCTCCAATTACGTAGTCCAATGTTACTTCGGAAGGGTTCATAGTTCCTGACGGTTCAGCAAGATCTTACCATCAATGACAACTTCTCACGTGCCAAAATAAGGGCTGCTACAGTATCAATTGTGCACAAATATTTCTATACTTACCCAAAACTAGATCTGCTTGTCTCAAAATTGCTTGAGAGTGCATTTAAGCCTGTACAAATGAATAGTTATCTTCCCCAGTCATAACATTCCAGAAAACAAGTCATACTACCAGCCGGCTACCTACAGCCGATCCTCGAATAACTTATACGGGTTCGAAAACTCTTTCGAAGCAATAATCAAGATAATTCAGCAATGCTCCTATCTGTTGATTGGAGCCTCCCAAGACATTCAAACCAGGATGAAAATGGTAGAGGTGGGTTCCAACGTGCTTTTTTGCTGCGGGTATACTGGGTAAACCTGGCAGCAAATATCCGATTTTGACGAATTATACAGCTTGAGAACAACATAGGTGGAAGAACAGATTAAAAATAACGGAAACTTTCTCAAGTGTGACGGAGAAAAAGAAGAGAGAGTACAATAGTTCGAGAATCGCATATCCCATGGGACTAGAAACTACGCTAACAAGTCAAGTTCCAACTGACTAGTTGGTAGCGGATGTGACGTCCTACAATTAGACTTACTCTTACAGACGTATTCACTTTTCGGACTCTTTTGAAGATGAAGTATGAAATCAAAAAATCTACCATTCTGAGTTGAATCGGATGCGTGGCGCAACAACAAATCACTTCATCTTGTGCTGGTCACTTCATCTTCCCCAAGGTTGCGACAACCCAAACGGAATTCCTCGGTTCCTGCGAAACGAATCTGTCCTCTAGTACCCTCTTTTTTTCGGAAAGGACTAGTGCCTATCGATCGCGGCAGTGGTGATTAACAAAAGGAAGCCGCAATCGAGAGGCGGAGCGAATGCGTGTGCAACCTGGCCCGGTGAGGTTACAGTATACAAGCACAGGTTTTGAATCTAACAGCGTGTAAGATTATAGGGTCGTAGTCATGGTATGAGCAAATGAAAACTCAAAATCGCAACAAATTTAGACGAAAACTAGCAGGGTTTGGCCCTATTTTGAAGGTGTTTATCACTGTTTACTCACAATTACATAGTTTA